ATAAAGATCCATGAGTATACTTAAGAACAAAGACTACAAATCTGACAGCAACAACTCCACCACATTTTGCAATGAAGTAAAATGGAGCCAGAAGGTAAACATCTACAATCCCCGATATTTAGGTGCCAGTCTATGCCAAACTAGTATTCTTAGACCGACAGCTTTCCGCTACCATTTCTGCTACCATCCTTCTCTGCTATTCATTTGCTCTGCTATTTATCTGTTCCTTCTCTGCAATTCATTTGATTAAATCTGTTACTAGTCATTATAATTTGATGGAGAATAAATCACAGGGGCAGATATCTATAAATAAATACCCACAAAGCCAGCCCAATAGCATTTTGCAATTTCTTAACCTCGTAAAGCCAGCAGACTAGTGCTGACTAGTGAGTATTGAAATCCTCAAAAAATCAGAGTGAGGAAATCCTTGAGAAACCCACATTCACACATTTGAGAGCCAATTTGACTCAGCTGGGCCTCAACTGAGTTTGAAAGTCCCTTGATTTAGGGTATGGAATGGGCTTCAGGACTGTCCTCCTGCAATGAGGATTAACGGTAGTTCAAATTAGGAGCTTTAATTCGAACTACCTAGCCCGTGCCGCGTGCAGCCGCGGGCAGGTAGTTTGAACTACCGGGCATTTAAAAATGGCAGCGCCTGGGAACATGCAAATGAAGCCCCGGATATTTGAATCCCGTGCTTCATTTGCAAGCTCGAATGACTACATTAGCCACCCTAGTTCAGACTAGGGTGGCAATGTAGACATACCCTAAGGTACTGCAAGACTGTTGTTTTTTAAGTTTATTCTGCTACCATTGAGCTACTTTTGTAGAGTCCTATACATGGAAACTCTATCACTTGCCCACAATACTGCTGTGTGGAAACAAGGCATGAAAGAAGAGAAGAGCAGAACGATAGTTGGGGAGGGGAAGGGGGAGAAATGTACATGAGGAGGACTGGGAAGGACATTTTGTTTGACGCTTTAAAACGGTCACCCCTGACTGCACAGGGAGAGGTTATAGCTTGTCACCTGCTTCTTTTGAAAATACGTTTCCCTGCCAAATCTCCATCGTGCGTTGACAGCCAGCTCCGGCTGCGAGAGGCTGGTTCTGGCAAGGCCAGACTGACTCTGCGCTCTTGCTGAGACCTTCGTCTGTGCAAGCAGTCGGCCAAGTTGTCTGCATCTGGACACTGTGTGCGGTTTGCACAGGGCCATGACGACGCGCCTCGCCAGCTTTCTACCAAACAGGGAGCTGGTGCAGAGCGACGCTGCGCCAAGCGGAGCACGGGCACTTTCAGGGCCCCCAAAGCTCCTCAGAGCACGAGCTGCATCTTTGCTCCCTTGGCATCCGGTTAGCTGCACTGGTCAACATTACTCCTCTGTCTCTCCCTGGCCACCTCAAGTGGCATAAAGCACCAAGTAGGGGAAAGGGGGCAGGAGTGTGAGGGCTGAAGATGTGGCTGGTCCCTGAACAGGGAGGACAGAGGAAGAAAATGGCTGTTTGGGGTCCCTTCTCCAAGCAGGCTTAACACAAACAAAAGGAAGCATTTCTTCATGCAGCGCAGCATTACCCTGTGGAACTCCTTGCCAGAGGATGTTCTGAAGACCAGGACTTTACCAGGGTTCAAAAAAGAACTAGATAAATTCATAAAGGATAGGTCCATCAATACTTATTATCCAGGATGGATAGGAAATGGTGTCCCCAGCCTCTGTTTGTCAGAGGCTGGGAATGGGTGATAGAACAGGGAATCAAGTGATCCCTCCCCGTTCACTCCCTCTGGGGCACCTGGCATTGGCCACTGTCGGCAGACAGGATACTGGGCTAGATGGATTTTTAGTCTGACCCGGTATGGCCGTTCTTATGTTTCTGCCCCCGTGTCCTGGTTCAGGGACCAGTCCAACAGCATTTAAAGGATAACCCTGAGGTATCAGCCTGCCAGTGAAAACGGCACTGATCCTACCAACACGGCATCACTGCTCAACCCATCATGTCTCTTTCCAAGGAGCAAACCAGCCTTGTTTCCCCAAAGGGCTGTCTACTTCTCACTTGTCATAATTCTAATCCACATCTGAGCCTCCAGCTGCCTGTCTATTCCTTTAGCTGGCCGGGAGAGTAGCAAAATAGAGAGGCAGAAGTCACATCGGATGCACAGAATCACCGGCTGCTCTGACTGTTGGCTTAGGTATTGGATTCCTTTGGATCTCACAGGATAGTCATCTGGGAGTCCAAACCCCTCCAAAGCAGAAATTTTTACCAAACTGAACTGCTGGACTTTGTTTTTCAGACCCAATTTTACTCACAACCACCAAGAGTCCCTGTCTGAATCAGTGTTTGATTACATTCATTCTTCGCATTCTCTCCCCAGAGTAAAAAATGGGCCCTGATAAATGTTGCCTCTGTTAGCAACACAGAAGCAATTTGGTTTCTTTCGCCTGAGCAAGAAGAATGTTGCCAGCTCGTATGGCTTCGAAGGGTTGAGTCCAAACCATTTGTTACATACAGGAATAAAACGTGCAAGAAATATTTCAAGCAGTTTTATTAAGACCAGAGCCTCGGTGCTTTTCATAGAATCATAGAACACTAGAACTGGAAGGGACCTCAAGAGGTCATCAAGTCCAGTTCCCTGCCCTCATGGCAGGACCCAGTACCATCTAGACATCCCTGACTAACCTGCTCTTAAATATCTCCAGAGATGGAGATTCCACAACCTCTCTAGCAATTTATTCCAGTGTTTAACCACCCCGACACTTAGGATGTTTTTCCTAAAGTCCTACCTAAAACTCCCTTGCTGCAGTTTAAGCCCATTGCTTCTTGTTCTAGCCAAGAGGCCAAGGAGAACAATTTTTCCCTCTCTCCTTCTTGTGATACCCTTTTAGATACCTGAAAACCGCTATCATGTCCACTCAGTCTTCTCCTTTCCAAACTAAACAAGCCCAATTTTTTCAGTCTTACATAAGAACACAAGAATGGCCGTACTGGGTCAGACCAAAGGTCCATCTAGCCCAGTAGCCTGTCTGCCGACAGTGGCCAGCGCCAGGTGCCCCAGAGAGGGTGGACTGAAGACAATGATCAAGCAATTTGTCTCCTGCCATCCTTCTCCAGCCACTGACAGACAGAGGCCAGGG